CCTCATGGCGCGAAATTTATGGTGGATAGCCGATCCAGCAACTAAGCTGGATTCGGCCGAAGATGCAAGTGGTTTCGCAGGCACTTCAGTATCCGTGCTATCTTGGCTGCACGGCTGAGCGGCGCCGGTCGCATATCAGGCCGCGGATTTGCTTTCGAAGCAATGTAAAGCTACGCTGTGCTTCGCTGCGCATCTACGCCAGGCAGACATCGATGTCTATGATTCGATGCGTCGCTACGACATGCATCGCTATGCCATGCTTTGCCGCGCAATGATTCGCCGCGCGCACGCATGGCATCTACGCGCGAGGAGCGGGGCAGACGGGGGGGCGGCATCCAATCAACATATCCGACAGCAAAGAAACATCATTACCTTGAACGCCCTCTCAGGGAGCCGCCCGAGCACCATCTCTCGAAGCTCATCTTCCCTATTGGGCGGGAGGATCGGGGCCTGCGAATCCTGGAACTGCTCGAGGAGAATGCGCGAGGCGCGCGCGGAGATTTTTTGTTTTTTCTTTTTCTCTCTCTCTCTCTCTCTGTCTGTCTGTCTGTCTGTCTGTCTGTCTGTCTGTCTTTCTGTCTCTCTGTCTCTCTGTCTCTCTGTCTCTCTGTCTCTGTCTCTGTCTCTGTCTCTGTCTCTGTCTCTCTCTCTCTCTCTGTCTGTCTGTCTGTCTGTCTGTCTCTCTGTCTCTCTGTCTCTCTGTCTCTCTGTCTCTCTGTCTCTGTCTCTGTCTCTCTCTCTCTCTCTCGCTCTCTCTCTCTCTCTCTCTCTCTCTCTCTCTCTCTCTCTCTCTCTTTTTTTTCTCTCTCTCTCTCTCTCTGTCTCCAATGCTCGCAGGGCGAGCGTTGACAACCGAAGGGGGGCGCCCTATCCCTCTTCCTCTTCCTCCTCCTCCTCCTCCTCATCCTCCTCATCCTTCTCCGCCCTCTCCTCTTCCTTCTCCTCCTCCGTCTCCTCCTCATCTTTCTCCGCCCTCTCCTCTTCCCCCTCCTCCTCCTCCTCCTCCTCCTCCCCCCCCCCCTTTCATCTCCCTTCCCCTTTTCGCCCCCCCCGTTTATGTTCCCCCCCCCCCCCCTTCCTTCTTCCACGGCCCCCCTCCTCGTGGGGGGGCGGAGGGCGGGGCGGGGGGGGCTTCCCCTCGCTCTCGCGGCACCTCAGAGGCACCCAGCATTCCCCCTCGCAGTAAGCTCGCGCTTGCAGGGGGTCGGATCGGGGGCGGGGCAGTTTTTGCGAGTCGCACTTGTCGTTTGCAATGGGTGGGCGTCGTCATCTTGTCAGCAGCTCAATCGCAGAAGTGCGACGCGCGCGTCTACCCGCCAAACGGCGAGCTCGACGACGACGAGGACAACTTCTGCCTCGACGCTTTCGCCGATAAGTGCAAACGGACAGGCGTGACCCCCTCGGGTCATCGTCGTCGTCGCTCTCTTTCTCCTCATATTCCTCCTCAGCCCCCCCCCCCCTTTGCTCCTCAGCGCCATTTCGTTCGCCGCCTCCGGCAAAATATTAGGCCAGCGTGGCGCCAGCGGCTCTCAGCCTATAGAGGCCGCGCCCTTCCTGGCACCGGTGCGCTGGAGAGTTCGCCGGCAGCGCAGGGCCAATGCGCGCGTGGCTCCACGATCAAGGTAGCATGAATCAGGACTGGCATGTCGTCGTGAACGACGCATTTCACCAAGGACCCCGCGGCATCGGCAGTGGGCCATCTAGACGCGCAGCTCCAAACGGCCCAGTCGACCGCGACGCGAAGCAGACAGCGCCCAGGCGCGATGCCGTCGCCAGGCTCATGCGCCGCGACGTCGTCGATGCAAACAGCTCGGCCCCTCTGACGAGCTACGCGCGCTGCCTCGGCGCTGCAGCAAAGAAACATAGCCGCGCTCTGAAATGGCATGCGCGATTTGCTTCGTCGCAGGCCTTCGGCCCGCGAGGCCACCTTTGGAAGCACGAAGGCGGGTGCGTGGGTGAAGTCGCCGGCGCGATGGGGGCCGCGCAGCGGCAAGTCGACCCTGCCGGCGCCGTCCAGCCGCGCGCCCCGCGGGCGGGCTCGGCAGAGCGGGGCGCAAAGACGGCCGGGAGTTTTCGGGGGGCTCGGGGCATGGCGAAAAGACGGAGAACAGGGCCAATTAGTTGGAAAGGCGCGGGCGCGGTCGGCCCGCGAGCAGGTTCGCGAGAAGCTGGTCCGAGCGAACGGAGTGAAGCGCAGCCTGGCCGCGCGGCGCCGCCTGCTGGGACGCCGCCCCCCCCGGCCATCTGGCGGCCCCCGTCCCTTTGGAACGCGAAAGGCGCCCGCGTCGTCGGCGACGTCGCCGCAGCCGTTGCCGCCGTCGCCCTCGCCCTCGCGTCGCCGCCGGATCGTCGGAAGTGGAAGGGCGGGCTGCGGGGGGGGGGGCGAGGCGCGGAGGTGGAGGGCGGGGAGGTGGGCGGGGCATTGGAGAGAGAGGAACGGGAGCGCTCGGGATGTCCCAGGGGGAGGGCGCCGGGGCGTCGCAGACAGGGGGGGGCGCTGTCCGTCGCGATGGTCGCGCTCGCGCTCGCGAGGCGGGGGCGGAAGGCGATGGCGAGGGCGACGATGGGGGGGGCGGGGGTGGGGAATGCGGGGGGGAGGGGGGGAGGAGGCGGAAAAGGAGGAAGAGGACTATGTTTTCGAGGAGGAGGAGGAGGCAGGTAGAAGGGGGGGGGGAATGACGACATGGAGGAAGTAGGGAAGGATGGGGAACGGGAGGAGGAGGAGGAGGAGGAGGAGGAGGAGGAGGGGGAGGAGGTTGAGGAGGAGCGGGGGGGAGGAGCGGAGGGGCGGTGGGGTTCGTAGCGGTTCTGGCCCGGGTATTCGGCTCAAAGCTGCTACGTGCATGTTGTACGCGCATCAATTAACAGTGCGAATTACAATCGCAGCGATAATGCGCCAGGAGTGCGTACTTGTGAAAACAGGCGTGTTGTTCCGATACCTCCCTCAAGAAATCGTATGAATACAACTTGCGACGAAGGCTACCATTTCAGAAAATGTGAGACAGCATTTTACGATCCGAAACACCAAGGCGGCCCTGCGTTACGATCTCAAGGACGTATAGCACAAACGGGCCAACATCTGCAACAACACATGCTCGGATGATGCATGCGTAATCACATGTGACGACCGAGCTCATCGGTATCGCGTTGGGGCTAATTCTGGCACGCGGCCAACAATACAATATCCTGGCAAGGAGTCGACCATAGGACTCCGCGGTAGGGTTTGGCTACTTTGCCTGACAAGGACGACTCTGGCACCATATCGACAGCCCCTTTTACAGTTGTACGCCTTAAGGAAACAATTGTTGCCAAAGTATGCGGGCAACAATGCGACATGGAGCCAGACCTATACATGCTCATTGATATCGGTCGCAAGATATACAGTTTTCATGATACGGCCTTGGACGAGAGCACGTAAATCCGCTGCCATCCCACGACCACACGTGGCAGCAAATACGTCGTGGACGCGCTGGACCCCAAGTCAACCCAACCACGCAGGACTACGCGAACAGCTACGGACTAAGGACTGCCTACCCCGTCCTGGGAAAGACGGGAGGCGCGTGCTACATGCACATTTCGGACAACATAAGCATACAGATGTAGAACTTGACGGCGGTCACTAAGACATGCTCTTTTGTCAACAGGTATTTGATACTGGTACAGGCTACCGACAACTGGAGGAGCGCACGACGGCTTCAACGCCGCGGACAAGGTGTGTCGTGCGTTCCTTGGCTTGCAAGGTATGCCGTCGTGGTACCTCCCACTGTATCTGCTGAGTAGCGCGGCCGTTCATGTACCCTTCCTTTTCAGGATCAGGGGTGAATTGGCCTCTCCCCCCCCCTCCAGGGGATAGTGGGCCCCCGCGCGGCCGGCCCGCAACGCGGAGGCGCTTGGAGTCGCCCGAAGGCGCTGCGAGAGAGAGAGAGAGAGAGAGGCAGAGAGAGAGAGAGAGAGAGAACCCAATATATACATATATATATAGATGTTTGTATATATGTTATATGTATATAGGTATTTGTATATATATATATATATATATATACAAATACATATATATGTATATATACAAATACATATATATATATATATATAGAAAGAGAGAGAGAGAGAGAGAGCGAGAGAAGAGTGGTGGGGGAGGAGGATTGGCGAGGGCCTGGCGAGGAGGGGATGGCGGAAAGGATGTGTCTCGCTTCCTTGTCCTTCTCCTCTTCCTCATTTTCCTCCCCCTCCTCGTCATTCTTCATCCTGCTGCTGCTCGCGTGCCCGCGCAACGAAGATGGCGAGACCCTCCGGGGGTGCTGCGAGGGAACGGAGGATGGCGCGGAGGTTATGAAATATCCTCCCCTTCCGCTCTCCGCATCCGTTCTCCTCCACCTGCGTATCATCGTCCGCCGCGTTCGTTTTGCTTTCTTGCCCCTTTGTTTCACCTGCTCCCCCCGTCCCCGTCAAATTGGACGCCCCCCCTCCTCCGCAACAGGGTCGCGCCCGCCTTCAGTTGGATGATGAGGAGGGGGAGCATGACGAACAAGGAAGGAAGAGGTAAGATAACCTGATGAGAGGGGAAATGTGTTAGGGTAGTGGACGGAAAAGAAACATGGCCAGGATAAGTTGTAGGAGTGTCGTGCAGAACTTGACGAGGGATCATAAGGGGAAAGGAGGATACAGGGATGAGAAAGAGGAGCCGCATGGGGATAATGAACATAATATGACGGGGATGAACAAGTGGAGGAAGAGGAAAAGAAAGGGGCGGGAGAAGGAGGAACAGCCGAACAGGACGACAATATGGGGGATGTTATGAGGGGGCGAGGCAGAGGAGGAGGCGGAAGAGAGAAGGAGGAGGAGGAGGAGGAGGAGGAGGAGGAGGGTGACGAAAGGAGGAGGAGGAGGAGGAGGAGGAGGAAGAGGAGGAGGAGGAGGAGGAAGAGGAGGAGGGGAACCGCCGACCGCGTCGCGCTCACGGGCCGCCCCGGACATTGGCGGGGCTGGCGGATTCGCCCGTGATGCACGAGTCCGTTCCTGACGAGTATAAGCCGGCGCTGTTCATCCGGGGGGCCGAGACAACCAGCAACGGACGCCGCGCCAGGGCTCGGGATTCGGGGAAGGATGCTTCCAACAACGGTTTTCATCCCGCCTCTCGGGGCTGCGTCGGCCTCTTGTGATCTCCGGAGGCCTGCCGGGGGGCGCTCGGATGATGCGGCGACCACGCCGTGCGGTGATCTGGCGGGGATTCGGGGTCACCGCACGGTTTCAGGACTTGCGTCGTTCTGCGAGGATGTCTCGGGCGACTGAGGCCTCCAGGGTTCCAGAACGGTGCGTTGACGGTTCGTGCGGTGAGGTCTTGGAAGATTTCGCGGTTATCGCAGGGTCTGTTCCCGCACCGTTTTGGGGCCCATGGGTTATGGCAGCGGGGAGCTTGGCCTACCTTCTGCGCTGCATCCCCTATCCAGCTTTCGGAGCAGGGGCTGAACGCGGGGTGTCGGCCCAAGTCCCCCTTTCCTAGCCCCTTGTGGGCCCCTCCGGCCTTTCTCCATTCATGAATTTTCGATCGCCCTGGGGCCCTGGGAAAAGCCACCCGGAATCCGAAGCTCAGGGGCGCCGACGATAGCGGGTTGGCTCAGGCGGGGGAGAGCACATGAACCCCCAGTCGCCCAGGCTTTGCCGATCGGGGCCTCGGTCCAGGCACTTCGGTGCTCCCCTATCGGGGGCCATACCGCCGATCCATTGGCGATGCACCACCGATTCTGGGCCACTGTCCCCCTCCCCCCCGAGCCCTGCCCCGAAGGGTGGCAGGGCTGCGAAGATCTTGGGAGACGAAAAGGTACCCATACCGCTACTCCACAGACTGCTCCAGGCGTGCGTTCTGACACGGATTTCGAGGCGAATCCAGCCGTGGCGACGACGGAGGAGTAGCAACTTCGGTATCCCTGCCTCCCCTGAAGATCGCAGCGTCAGAGGTTTTGGGGGTGGGGAAGGGAGGCGCGCATGGGAGGTGGGCTGTGACGCCAGTCGGAGAGAGCCCGCCCGGGAAAAAACTCGCCGAGGGCCCGCGCGTCCGCGGGCTGGGGTGTCTGCGGCCCCCCGCCATACAAGGTGTGAGGGCGCCTTTCCCGCCGCCGACCAAGCACATCAAGATGCCGAGGGTCAGGAAAAGAGCGGTGGCCCTGCCTCCTCCTCCTCCTCGCTGGTACCTGCCCTGTTCAGCCTTCACGCCCGTGCGCCGCCTCCGGCTGTGCCCCTTGGGCGCTGCACGCCCCAGGGTTGAGGCGTTGAGACCGCCCCAGAGTGAGCGGCGAGCATCCCGGGGCCCGCCCGGACCACGGGATATGCCCGGCGACCCCTTCCCGCCTCCCGGTGTCTGATCCTGTCTGTTCCCCACAGCAAGGGGGGGCAGCCAGATGTCTTGGACCTCGAAGGGATGATGATGATGGTGGTGATGATGATGATGATGATGATGATGAGGATGATGATGAGGATGATCGGTAATTATCGTGATGATCGTGATGATCGTGATGATGAGGATGAGGATCATGGTGGTGATGTTGCTGATGATGATGGTGACGGTGATGATGATCATTATGGTGATGATGGTGTTGATGAAGATAATGCTGATGGTGATGATGATACTGATGATGCTGATGCTGATGCTGATGCTGACCTACGCAATAACAATGACGCTGACGCTGACGATTGTGATGCTGATCATGATGATGGTGTTGATGTTGAGGATGCTGATGATGGTGGAAGTGGTGGTGGTGTTGAGTATGTTGATGCTCATGATGATGATGATGATGAGAATGATGATGATGACGGTGATGATGACGGCACTGTTCAAGGTGATCGTTATATTGATGTTGGTGATGATGCCGATGATCGGTTGTTGATGATGATGTTGAGGATGCTGATGGTGGTGATGAAGATGGTGTTGATGATCATGACGATGATAAGTATCGTGATCGTGGTGGCGATCATGATTCTAACGGCGATGATGGTGATGATCATGATGATAATGGTGATGACGGTGATGCTGATGCTGGTAATGATGATAATGTTGATGTTGATGTTGATGTTGATGATGATGTTGATGCTGATGCTGACGATGACGACGGCTCTGACGATGGCGACGCCGATGATAATGAAGATGATGCTGATCATCATGATGAACATGGTGATTGTGATGATTCTGATGATGATCAGGAGGATGCTTAGGAAGATTATGGTGGTGGTGATGATGATGGTGGTGCTAATTATGATTATGATGATGCTGATGAAGCTGATGACGATGACGATGATGATGTTGCTGCTGGTGAAGATGATCTACTTTTTCTGTATGGGGCCCCCGATGATCATGTTGATTATGATGATGATGATGATGATGATGATGATGATGATGATGATGATGATGATGACCGCTATGATGATGATAATGGTGACGATGATGATCATGACCATGATCATAATCATAATGATGACGATGCTGATGCTGATGATGATCCTGGTGATGATGTTTTCGATGACCATGATCATGACCTCGAGCATGATCCTCATACTGGTCATGGTGATGATGATTATGATCATGATTTGTCATGATGTTGATGATGATTTTGTTGATGATGATGCTGATAGTGATGATGATGACGACGGTGATGATGATGATGATGATGATGATGATGATGATGATGATGCTGCTGCTGCTGCTGCTGCTGATGATGATGATGGTGGTGGTGGTGGTGGTGGTGATGATGATGATGATGATGATGATGATGATGACGATGACGATGACGATGACGAGGACGACGGCGACGACGATCATGACGACAACGACGACGACGCCCTGCAGCTTCATGTCCGGTGCAGGTGCAGAGCCTCACGCCGAGATCTCGAGCCGATCACGTGCGGGTGGGGGGGCTCGGAAGCGCAGCGCCTGTTGCCCCCCCCCCGCGTGCGCGGGCCAGGCCAGCAGGTATGGCGCCCGGAGGCCCCGTGTCTTTGTCCTCCTCGTTGTCCTCCTCGTTGTCCTCCTCCTGCTCCTGCTCCTGCTCCTCCTCCTCGTTGTCTTCCTCGTTGTCCCCCTGTGACTGCTCCTCCTCGTTGTCCTCCTCGTTGTCCTCCTGCTCCTGCTCCTGCTCCTGCTCCTCATCCTCCTCCTGCCCCTTCTCGTGGCCGCCGTCGCCGCCCTCCGCTGCTGCGCGCCGCGAGGTCTCGTCGCGTCGGCACCGGCGCGCGCTTGCCGGCCTCGCGGCATCTTCGCCGCCGCCGTCGGCGTTGTCGGCGGCGTCGTGGACGGCGTCGGCGCTCTCGAAGCGTCGGCGCCGCTGTCGATCCTGGTCCTTCTTTTTGAGTTCGACGGCGGCTGCGGCCTCCCCCCACGCCCCTTGCGACAGGTCCGCGAGCGCCTCCTGCGGGACCGCGGCGAGCGTGTGCGGCAGCTGCGGGAGGTCCTGGAGGCGCTCGCGCTCGCACGCGCGCGCGTCGCGCTGCGGCGCCGCCTACCGCGGTGGCGGCGACCTCGGCGCTGGCGTCTGCGACCATTCTGACGGCGGCGGCGGCGAAGGGGGAGAGGAGGAGGAGGAGGAGGAGGAGGAGGAGGAGGAGGAGGAGGAGGAGGAGGAGGAGGAGGAGGAGGAGGAGGAGGAGGAGGAGGAGGAGGGGGAGGAGGAGGAGGAGGAGGAGGAGGAGGAGGAGGAGGAGGAGGAGGAGGAAGAGGAGGAGGAAGTCGACGGCGTCGACGGGGCAGCGCGCGCGGCCCGAGAGCGCCCGCGCGGAGGACCAGCGGATGCAGCTCGTGGCGCGCGACTCGCGGGTCGGGGCCCTCGAGGGCGAGGCGATCGCGCGCGTGCGCGGGGCGCCCCACCCCTCAGCGACGGCGGCGGCCACGGCGGCGGCGACCCTGACCGTGCCGGCGACGGCGACGCTGGTGGTGACGGCGACGTGCAGGAGGGGAACAGAACACACAGACACAATTAATCGTCGATCCCCCAGAAAAGATGGGAAAATCTGGGAAGGGGGGGGAAGACAAAACCCAGAAAATATTGGAATATATGGGGAATCCTGTTATTGGTGTGTGAATTTATTTGTGTGTCCCAGGGCCCCTTCGTGGTCGTGACGGCGACGTGAGCTGGGGGCGTCGACGTTCAGGGGTCGTGGGGGGTGGCGCTCGGGGGACTCTGTGGCGCCTCTTGGGGCACTCTTGGTGTCAGCGTTTCGGGCAGCGTTTCGGGCCGTCCTGGTGCCACATTGGAGGCCATCGATCAACGAGTGGGGGTGGCCTAATGAGAACCGTCCCTACAGGAGGCCAACTTGTGCCCAAAACCTCAAAAGGATCTCAGTGAGTTGCGTTTTTCGCTGATGCCTTCTTTGTCCCTCTGGCACCCTGCCGCCCTTCCCCCCTGGCCAGGACCCAGGGGCAGGGGGCAGGGGGAGGGACCCCTCCCCGAAGGGGAAGAGTCAGGAGGGAGAAAAAGTCCACAGACACAATGAATCGTCGATTCCCTAGAAAATATTTGAAAATATGGGAAGTGGGGGGAAGACACAAGCCTAGAAAATATGGGAACATATAGGGAATCCTTTTATTTGTGTGTATTCATGTGTGGGTCCCAGGGCCCTTCAAAGAGGGGGGTTCGAAGAGGAAACGCCCTAGACCACCGACGTACGCCCTAAAGGGCTGGTGGGATTGATTGTGGGCTCTAGCGCCGGGAGGCGTCGGGAACATCATCTACATAAGCTCCTTCGGTAGCCTACCCTTCGTTATCCCCCCTGTCATTCGACACGACTCCCCCCTCATGCCGAAGTCTGCGTGTGTGTATCCCATAGGTTATTCTACGTCCTTCATATATCGCTCGGCTCAGGCATTAAAGACTCATAGCAGTAGTCATCATCTTCATCCTACGGAGCCTTGGTTGGGCTCGGCTCCTTGTCTGGTTCCCCTTCCCCCCCTTCCTCCTCCAGGAGGGGATCTGAGGAGGTCGAAGAAGAGAGCGAATGCGATCGGGTGAGGGCACGTAGAGGGGGAGGGGAGGTGTACGACGACGACGACGAACACGACGATGACGGCAATCTGGGCGACGGCGACGACGGTTCCAATGGCGGTGGTGACGAGACGGCATCGGGGCTAATCGCGCGCCCGCACAGGTGAACCGGTTGTCCGCCGCCCTCAAGGAGGAATTGCCCCCGCTTCCCTTTGCTCCGTGACGGCGGCGGCGACGGCGACCACGACGACCATGACGACGACTGCGACTACGCACACGACGACGACGACGGACGATGGACGACGACGCAGGTTGCGGCGACGGCGGCGGCGACGGTGGCGGCAAGAGGGGCAAAGGTGGGAGGGAGGAGCGATTAGAACAAGAGGCGCCAGGGACTGGGAAAGGGGACGCTGGAGGGGAGGAGGAATGGAGAGGATGCAGGAGTTGCAGGCTGGAAGAGGCAACAGGCAGGAGTGAAGCAGGTAATTAGCGCGAGAGTGCAGGGCATGGCTTAACTACCGTTTTCGCTGGCATCTGTGGACGATGACGTCCGAGGCTGAAGGCACAAACAACTCAACGACTCAGACCGGCTCAGCCACTGTGCTTTTCAGCTCTTGATGCGCCACGACACGAAAGGGGCATGGCTTATCGAATGAACCAGCACCGGTGGAGTATGGCGCGCAGCGCTGAGAATGCAGAGGGCACCAACGACCGAGAAATGGCAGGGCCAGCTTGCTTTTCGGCCCTTGCAGCCCCACGCCGCCAAGATCAGACGCGGGCATTCGGGCGCACCTCTGCGGCTTTCCTTGTGTCAGGGCCAGCTGGGACCTCCCGCCTTCACGTGCGCGTCGTCGTCGTCTTTCACCGCCCAAGCGAAATCGCCGCAGTCGTCCCCGTTCAACGCCAGTGCAGTCCTTTCGCCTTCCCCCCCCAACCCCCAGGAGGCAGCCGCGCGCGCCCCCCCCCTGCCTCACGCTGGAGCCTGGTCGACGCTGCTCACACCCACAAGCAGAGCCCAGAGTGCAGAGCCCCCTCTTCGGACCCGCGTGACCCGCCCCCCACCCCTTTCATCCTCCCCCTCGCCCTATCCTCCCTCCTCGCTTCCCCTTCTCCCCCCTTCCCCCTCCCTTCCACCATTAATCTCTAGCTCGCATTGGTTGTCGTCTTTTCCACAATAGGCGCTGAAACACATTATTTTGCGGCGTGCCCTCAATGCTGTTGCCTGTTGCCTCCTCCATAAGCCTCAACCAAGAAAAGACTGCCATCCTGAGATTGCCGCTGGCCTCTGCGAGAACGGCCATCACGCCAACGTCTCCTTCAAGCCGATCCAACAATGTCGACGGGGCGCAGGTCGCGTGAACTGATATCAGCAAGTTATCTCCGCGTGCTTCCGGCGCGGAACTGTTCGCTGCACCGCTGGCCGATGCGCGCGCTCAAGCGGGGGGCGCAGCCCTGCGTCGATCGGCCCTCCGCTTGTTGGCGCGCGCGACGTCCGCCTCCTGGACCCTTCGCCAGCTCGGGCCTGTGAAGTGAAAGGTTATGTTTTTTTTGGATGGCCACAACGGCAGCATGTTTCATTGCACAGGTCGCGGATTTGGGCTGCGCCCTCGATTCCCCGCGGGCCTCGGGGGGGGGCCTGAGCCTCTTTTGTGGCCTGTCGCGCGCTCTGTCGTGCTTCACTCTGGCTCTGTCGAGTCACTCTTGGATTAATCGGGTGCCTGCGTCATTTTGGAAGGCCCCTGCGATGTCTCGGCCAACTCTTGGAGATGTTAGAGCACAATATTCTTGGAGATCGGGAATATTTCTCGGCACATTCATCTTGCCGCGGACTCCACCGCAACTGGCGCGCCAGACTGTCGCGGACTCTTGACGGTCGCCCTGACTGCGCCACTGGCGCCTGAAAGGTTCACCCAGGCGGCGGGTTTTTGTCTTCAACTGTCGTTCGGTGCCGCGCTCGTTTTTTTCTTTCAGACGGTGTCGCGTTGCGCAAATGTCGGCTTTCCCGCATTTTTGGCGCGAGGGTTGAAACATCGAAATTTACAGGCCGACTGACGAATAATGAGAACTGTTTGTTCCTATTTCCGCTTCCTGCTCCTCTTTCTCCTGCCGTTGACGCCGTAGACGTGTGTATGCGCATGGGGCTTTTCCTCTTCATCCTTCCCCTCCGCCCCGCCTGCCCCCTTCACCCCGGGAGGCCGCCCAGCGCGGCTCCGACGCCGGCGCCTGGCCTGGTTGCGCCGCCGCCTCCTCCTCGCAGTCCCCTGCGTGGGCGGCTCGGTCGCCGCGGGGCCACGGTGACGGCCGCAGACGCGCGCGGCGACGCCCACGGCGACGACGCCCAGGGACGACCCCAGGGAAGAAGACGCCCAGGGATGATGCCCGCGGCGACGGCCACGGCGGCGACGCGCAGAGGACGACGCCCAGGGCGACGACGCCGTTGAGATCCTGGCCGTCGAGTCGGATGTTTTCATCCGATGTTTTGCCCAGGGGCCGTCATAGATCGATTCGATGTGGAAAAGTGGCGCAGAAAACCGAGGACCAGTGTTTCACCAGGTTTGCGGTCAACGGCGACCGCGGCGACGGCGATGGAGGAAGAAGGAGGACAATAGGACGGGGGGGAGGGTGAGAACGGACACGGAGGAAACGGAACGGGGGGAAATTGAAGAGGAGGAGGGGGAGGAGGAAGACCAGCCCGCGGATTGGGGGATATCCCGCTTGTTTCGGAGGTGCCAACTGCACTATGCAGTGCCAATTCTCTCGCCAGTTGGGCCAGCGAGATTGGCCTCTTGAAAAGAATGGGCGAGCTCGCAGAAACTTTGGGGTGCCTCCCTTCCCGAGCACGCTGACGCTGCAACGCACGACCGTCTATAGGGGGATATTCGGGGCAAACGCCTTGGAACCCTCGGGTTCCCTCTGTAAGCGAGCCACATTTCCAGCACAAGTGTTCTTGACGGCCTGCCGTCAAAACATCCGAAGAAATTCGGCTGGTGACCCCGCAGATTGGCCAGCAGCTCGCTGTGGTGGGCACATTATTCTCTTGCACAGCTGTGCTCTAGAGCTCGGACATCTTTATTTTCGGCGTGGTTCGTGGTTCGTGGTGGTTCGTCCCCCTCGGCCCATCCCCCGGGCCTGAGCCCCAGCTCCCCTGGGCCACCCACCCTTCGGAGGCTTGCTCCGTCCAGGCCTCCCAGGACAGCTCCCCTGGGCCGCGGACATCCTTGTTTTCGGCGTGGTTCGTGGTTCGTCGTGGTTCGTCCCCCTCGGCCCATCCCCAGAGCCTGAGCCCCAGCTCCCCTGGGCCACCCACCCTCCGGAGTCTTCCTCCGTCCAGGCTTCCCAGGGCAGCCCCCCTGGGCAGCGGAACCCTTTATTTGCGTCGTGGTTCGTGGTGGTTTGCCCCCCTCGACCCGCCCCTGAACCTGAGCCCCAGCTTCCCTGGGCCACCCACCCTTGGGAGCCTTCCTCCGTGACCCCCTCCTGGAAGAAGGAGGCGCGGGCCTCCAGTCCCTCGCAGCTCCTTAGTGCAAGAGTCAGGGCACGCGTGCCACTTGTTGGGCAATGTTCCTTCTCGCGTATATTCAAATTATGATCGCTCGCACACCGCTGTCGGCATGCCGTGCTGGGACATCCCTTGCCCCACGTGTGCCACAGGGGTGCCCGCCTGGAATTGTTGGGCTCTTCCTCAGGAGCCGAGGCAGGAGGAGGAGGAGGAGGAGGAGGAGGAGGAGGGATCGAGGGCGGAGGCACATCGATCTCCCAGGCGGGCTGAGCTTCGGCCGCTCCGACAGACGGGCTCAAACTCTTGGCTGGTTTTGCGAGCCCTTTGGATCCAGCCTTCGGCGCGACCGTTGGCCAGAGTTAGAGGGCTTCTGAAACATGCCTGAGGTACTTCTTGAGAGTGGCGGCTTGAGACGCCTGCAGCTCAAGCTCGTCGATACTCATCTGGGGTTTCCTGGCAGCGGTTATCTTCGCAAGTCTGTCAGCAGCATCGTTGCCTTTGGCCCGACGCCACTCTTCGCTGCCAGGGGTCTAAGAGTCCAGGTCAGCATGTGGTTCGATATTGTGGAGCCTGGGACCGGGGAGGGTGGGCATGCAGGCCCCCGCCAGGACCTTGAAGGCCCCACAAAGGTCGGCCCGAGAGCAACTGTTCTTCTGGTGGACGTCGATAGCCCCTTTTGCAATCTGCAAGGATCTGGGCCTGGGGGGAGGCGCTGAGAGCGGCGGCAAACACAGCACAGTGCTCGGCAGCGGGGGAGGTCGGGGAGAGGAGGTTGCCCACACGTCCTGTCATGTAGGCGGTGACTTCTCCATGGCCGTCAGTGGCCACTATCGCCCAGCCCGCTAGATTTTAACAATTAGCTCCTGGCTTGAAACAGGAGCCATCGTTGTACACTTCCTGGGGAAAAAAAGCTACCTGTGGAGTAAGGTCGGGGTCCCGACTCCAGACATCAGCGTATTCGTAACCGAAGCCCGCTGGGGCCCCTGAATCGAATTCACGTAGAAACTGAAAACCGACGGCCAGGACTTGGTCGGAAATATTGTTTATACTTCCCAAGTCGCCTGCTGTGAGTTCAAGTTCTTCTCGCAATCTGGCCGAGACACTACACTCTGGAAGCTTGTTCTTCAAAGTGTCCCTCGCAGCTCCGCGCTGACTATTTTTGTGAACGTCGTAGCCTGCAGCGCGCAGTCTGGTCTGCGCCCAAATACACAAAGTGAGAAAGCAGACGAGTGTGGACCTGGCCTTCTGAGTTTCACTCTTTTTATGTATGAGGTCTCTGGCTATTGAAACATCCAGGGTATCTTGAGGGTACCCGGGTTTCTCAGCAGCCTTTTCAGGTTGAGTTTGTCCCAGGCTGCCTGCATCTTCTGGGCCGGCATTTGAGGCGTGCAGGTCGTGAGCGGGTGTTTGAGCCCGTTCTCGTTTTGCAGCTCCAAAACCGAACGAAAACTCCAGCCTATCCTCTTGAGGGATAGGATGGCGGCCCCATAGGGGCCTCGCTCAGCAGACCATTTGGAGGGTGGGAGGTGAGGATGGGTTCGGCCAGGCCCTTCAGTTCCGGAAGTTCCCGAGGGTACAAGGGTTGAGTGGCCGCGCGCCAGATCATCGTCGCCCGCGTCGGCACAGGTCCCAAGCCTGCGCGCCACGAAGGGTCTTCAAGAACAGCCGAACTAAGGGACCTACTTCGCGCAGCACATCTTGGGCCAGCAGTCCGTAGGTTTTCTGTTTGCAGATCCCGAAGCTCCCCATGATCCATTCCAACCACCTCGGTCCCGTATGTAATAGCCTGCTGGAGGCTTGTTTTTCAGAGTTACCTCTTATTCCCTCCAGCTATCTGAATCGCTCGAGTCCGATATCGTCGATTCCGATGTCGCACACATCGTCGGTAAAGGGTCGCCTTGGCGAGTCGTCTGCAAATCCGAATCCTCGAGGCTCCAGCATCTCTGTCTATGCCGAGATTAGTAGCCGAGTGAGCATCTTCAGGGTCAGCGTACTTGCCCAGGGCCTTCCGTACTTCTTATTTTCTGCTTGAGCCGGGGCTTCGAAGCTATGTTTTAAGCTCTGTGCAGCGCGAGCCTACACTCCAGGTCCTCTTAAACGATGATAGCTAGCCTGGCCGCAGAGTGTTGCAGATGTCGGACAAGCCCTTCTTGCGTTTGATGCTGCCGCCCCAGGAAGAGGCTGTTGACAAACACTTGCAGTTCGGTCCCTTTGGGTTTTTTTCTGCTCCGGCTTTCCAGGGGCCCCAACCTGTAAACATGCACCAGGAAAGTCCCCCATCCACCGCCAGTTGCAATACCTCGCGTCGGATGGTTGGCCATCTGCACTAAACTTCTGGTGGCAACCAGGCGCTGGCTGCTGTACTGCGTTAAAATGACTTCAAGGATTTTGCTGCTGAAGCCCGTGTCGCAGGCCCTCTCAATCAGCTTGGCGCGGCAGGTCCCACATCACAGTTCTTGAATGCAGCGGCTCATCACGAGTTACTCCATTCAGCCTTGAGGCTCAGCCGAAACAAACAACTCCCGTGATGCTCTTGCCCGCCTGGTGGGCAATGAAATTTCGTCGGTGCGCTAATTCCCATCTCCGAGTTAACCCTTGACGGACCTTGGACCAGATGCGGTAAAGTCCTGGCTGGCATCATCCCGATTCCTCGGAACTGCGTCGCTTGGCCTCGCGCGTCTTTTTGCTCTTGTTTTGCTTGGCGGTCAGCACTAAGACTACTGCTTGCAGCTGCTTGGGCATATCACCTGTGAGCTCGACGAGGCACACAGAGTGGCATGCCAGCTGCGCCTGGCCAAGCGTCGGGCTCTGGAGGTGCTCGGGGTGGAAGCCGCCCCGCGTCGCGGAGGTTGCGCGGCAGAATTGCCTGGCGGCATCCATCACTTGTTGGGGCTCCATCATGGGCAGCTGGGGATCGTTGGGTCCTGGAGGTGCATGATATTGAGGCCTACTTCCAGTGGCATCTCAAAGTTGTCTGAGTCTATCTTCTTCGTGGTCAAGAACCTTGGAGGGGCGCCCAGTCTACTATATTAGCCTTTCCAGGGTACAGCTTGAGGGGCCCACGCGTCCAATGCATTGGTCCACCTGTGAGCCCGTCCAGCATTTCCTTGAGTGCCTACTGGGACCCACTCCCGCCGGGACCCGAGCGGCCTCTTGCGATTCCGAGTCGATCTCAGTGTCAATCAATTTGGTGATGTGGTTCATTACGTCATCCAGAGCCCCAAGACCCAATTCTGGAACCAGGGCCCCCGCTTGCGCATCCAGCACGAGGAGTCGGAGGCTCTGATGGGTACTGCGGAGGCACTGCTGGAGGACCTCGGACCCTTGGAACTCTGGCGGGGTGTCTTCCTGGCCTCGCTCGGGAGGCAAGGACGAGGACTGTCCTGAGGCAGGGTTGCCTGTTGACTCCCCAGCCCGAAATTCGAGTTGGACCGCAAGCGGGCGTGTGCGTTGTCTCCCTGTCGCCTCCTCCTCCCCCTCTTCCCCAACAAAAACACTTGCAACTCTGTGGCCCCGAGCTTCTGAAACTTGAAGGACAGCTGCTGCACCACGTTGCGCATCCAGCGCAACGGTCCTGCGCGCGACTTCCGCTCGACTCGGTGGTCCTCCGAAGCCTGCTTGGCCCTAGTCCAGCGGGACCCTCGGGGGACGGGCCCTGGGGCGCGAGCCTAGTGTCGGCGCGGCATCGGTCCACTCGTCGATCGTAACTTGCAAATCCATAGCCAAAACATGATAAACCTCGCGCCTTCTCGTGGCCTCCTCCGCCGCTCGGCTTCTGGCATGGGCCAGCTGCCGCGGGAAGCGTGTAGATCGCTCACCGTCCGTGGTCCAGGGAACCCGCGAGCCACCAGAGAATTCCTAAGGAGCAAAATGATACACCTGATCCAGAGCCCTTTGCTGCTCATCTGGGTTCGGTGGGCTGGTGCCGCGGTGGAGGATGGCTTCGGTCTCTTGCAACGCTGCCTCTGCAGCGTTCCACTCGCGCTCGGGCCTCCTGGGTCCAAAAGCTGGCTTGGTCGGCAGGCGTTGCGGCTTGCGCGAGACTGGGGCGGTGAAAGTATCGTCGGCCTGAATGTCAATCTTGACTGAGCGATGCAGGAAAAGTCTTGTACATGTGGTTCCGAGAGCATACAATCCAGACGCTTATTATGCACAACGATGTCCAAACATGATTGGGAATGCTTCGTAAATCATGTTGGGGTATCGGTAGCGCTAGCTGTCATACCAGCTCGCTGCGTGAAATCTTGCTGCCTAATCTCGTTAGGATTCATTGCCGCGCTGCCAAGTTGCCTATGTTGACGTCTGTTAGGCCTGCGCTGACCTGCATGTAGGCTGACAGGATGCCCGCGACTCCAAGCCCAGGCAGCTCCACCCGAACTCCCACGAGACGCCCCTAGGGCACCAGATCCTGAGCTCCAGACGGTAACTCCACATTCGGAACTCCAACATCAAAGCCGCGACGGACCATGATACAATCTCCAGCCGAGGGTGGTTCTGTGGAGTTGAATGCGCCTGCCTGAAACACTGCTTGCCGTCCTTCGCGATGGCACCTTCATGCTGCCTGCGTGGTCAAGTGCGCTGTGCACAGCTTGCACTCCTGCGCGCCAATGATGCGAGACTGGCCGCCGAGCTCAGATTTGATGAAGGTCTGCACCTGCGGCCAGCCGCTGCCATCGATCGTGACGAACGTGTAGGCCGTGCTGGGACGACGACAGGGACTCCGAAGATGACGCTGCCGCCGCCTTCGCTGCTGTCTGTTCGACCGCGACCTTGGGCCTCTTGGCCGCGTCCTCGTTGGTGAGCCCTGCAGTGACCAACGTCGCGTGCACGGTCTGCACCTGGTCGAGGGCCTTCTTGCGTGCCTCCGCCACCTGCTCGTCGTCGTTCTGGTAAGAAGCCATTGGGCTAGGCGCCGCTGCAGCAACCGCGTCGCCCTCAACTTCTGCATAGTTATGGTTGCTCGTCTGCGTGGGTGTTAGAGACATCGTCCTGCTCGTATTTCTCGTCCTGCGGCTGCTATTGCCCTTGGATCTTCCCCAAGCATGCACACATAGCTGCGGGTTGTTGGTCAAGCTCGGGTGGGATCGCGTCCGTCGGTTTGTTGATGCGACCTGGGATGAGCGACTTTACTGCCTCCGACATCGGCACGTCCATGGTGGCCTTCTGCGCGGCTGTCTGCTGAACCACCTGTAGCTGCTCTTGCAGCCGCTGGACGTCCGCGCTGATCTCCAGGAACTCGTGGATGGCCTTGTTCTGCTTCTCCGAGACTGTGGCCAGCTGCTGGATAAGCTGGATGACCGTGTGCTTCGTCTGCTGGAGGCGCTGCTTCTGCTGGTTTAGCTGATCTGTGAGACTCTGTGCCTGCTGATCGGGGGTCTTCTCTTGAAGTGCGGTCTGTTTGGCCTGCTTGAGGGCCTCGACCGCATCCTTCTACTCCATCGAGGTATCGCCTTTCCATTGCTTCCAGACGGTGACTTGGGCTTGGGCCAACTCGATGGGGTATGGGGAAACTTCACCTCGAGCGCCGTCTTTGTCTCTGTGTGGTTTGACCTGCGCATGCTCTCCTTATCCGTCGTCTGCTGCATCAGGGGTCCTTTGAGACTTCCCACGGCGCCAACGCCCGTGACCTCGTCCTGTTGGCTGATCTCATCCGTCACGTACATCAGGTTGCCTTCGTGTTGGTCCACATTTTGCTGGGAGAGGGTCTGTGAGCACCAGCTTCTTGAATGCGAGACTCGCGCCACACCTGGCGCAATGGGTAGCTTCGCGATCTGCTCAGGCCCAGCCGCTGCATGGACAGTCACGATATCTGCCACGAGCCATCGCGCCGATCCTATCAGAAAAAAACACTAAGCCGACACACACGGGTAGTGAGAGAGAGATAGTTGTTCGGCCGATGGGTAACAGCCACACGTTGGTGTGGCGAAATGGTTGTGGAAAGCTGGCCGAGGCAGCCAGGCTTGACGGACGGGGTTGCCTTTCCACCTCGACCTCGAGTTGTTGGAGTCGGGACGGCAGGTAAGTTCCGTCTTGAGCCAGCATGGCTACGGGAGTTGGAGGAGGCGTTGAGGAGGAGGAGGAGGAGGGGAGGAGGAGGAGGTTTCGTGGCGGGGTGAAGGGGAGAAGGAAGAGGAGGAGGAGGAGGAGGAGGAGGAGGAGGAGGAAGAAGATGAGGCGGAAAAAGAACAGGACGAGGACACGGAGGACGAGGAGGAGGAGGAGGACGAGGGCTAGGACGAGGAGGAGGACGACAAGGAGAAGGGGGAGGAGGAAGGCGACCAGGGACGGCGAGGTTGAAACGGATCAGGTCACGGCGGCGGCGGCGGCGGACTCATCGGCAGCGGGATCGGCGCGTTTCCGCTGAGGCGGAGGGTGCCGCCGTTTCCGCACCAGGAGGCTAGGACCGCCCCTGCCGCCTCCGTCGCCGCCAGTGACTGTTGTCCCTGGCGTTGTCGTCGTCGTCGTCGTCGTCGTCGCCGCCGTCGTCGTCGCCGCCGCCGCCGCTTCTGTCGTCGTCGTCGTCGTCGGCTTGCGCCACCGTCGCCGCCGCCGTCGCCAACCGCCGTCGCCGCTGGCACCTGCGTCGCTGCCGCCAGTCGCTTCTGTCGTGTCGCGTGCATCCAGCTATTGCTTGGGGGATGGAATGGGTACGGAAACACTGGGTAGAAAGTACAGCAGCAGTTCTTGTGCATTCTGAACAGTTTTCGCTGTCGGCGTCGCCGCGGTCGCTGTCTATTTGAGACACTAGCTCGCCTGCCCAACAGCGGCCGCTGCTGGTGTTGGACAACACTTATTTGTTGTTGGGCAGCGTCTATTTGTCCCGTGCTCATTGCATTAGTGTATTGATTTTTAGCTTCGGCGCGGGATTGAAAGTTGAAACATGGAAACATATTGAAAACGAGACGAGCTGCTTGAAGCATTTCACATCTTATGAAAGTGAGAAATGAACATCGCAATCCTGATTTTACGAATTGAATTGATGTTCAATCTCGGGGTCGAGGAATGAAAACATTATATACTCAAAAGGGGTTGTGTGTTTTCAATGGTCAATGTTTTAATACAGTTGGATATGTATTGATCATTGTAGCGCTTCGATTTTCAATCTTGGCGCACTCCTTCTGCATACGTTTCTCTTGGGCGGCTTTGGGGAGAGCGGCGAATCTGGCGAGAGGTGCATTAAAGTACATAGTTCTCCCAAGGCACGCCCAACGACGCGAAGCGGGTCGGTCGGGCAGGTCATTGAAGTGCATGGTCTTTGTCACGTGTGGGTAGGCGACGCAGAGCTGTTCTGACGACACGGGCCGGGCGCGTGGAACAGCAGCGTGTCATGCGGGATTTTTCTCGGGCGCCGTCGGAGGAGGGGGGGCGAGCGGAGCAGGACGAGTCGGGCGGGCGGGACACGTTAGGTTAGGGCTCTCTCGCAGCAGGGCCAACGAGGCTGTGCGGATCGGGCGGCCGCGACAGCGAGGCGCAGGGGGCTCCCTCGAGCGTGGTTGGTTGGGTCGGGCGGGTTTTTCGAACTTGTTTTATCTTCGAACTTCTCAAACTTCCAAATCCGGTCGAATCTGTCTCATTCGTTCCGACCTTCTCACAATCCCGAATCGAGGCGAACGTGTTTTAACCTGTCTTTAGATTTCCAGCTTCTCCTTTCAAAACGAATTTTTCAAACTTCAACTTCGGGAGGAGTTTTTATTGATGAAGCGTTTTTTGAGCTGAGTCTAAACTTCCAGGTCCGAGCGCGCACTTCGCTCGCCTAATTCCAGATTGCAGTATCTTGCCTGCTCAGGGGCGGCATAGGTCTGGTGGTGCTCCTCTCCCTCCTCGTGCTCCCGCCCCCTCCCGATTCCAGTGGTGTTCCCTACCTCTCTCGATTCCAGTGGTGTTCCCTCCCTCAAGCAGTGGCGAAGCGTCCTGGCTCGCCTATAGCCCTACAAAACAATGTTCTAAGAGCCTTGTGTGGTTTCCCCGAAATGTTCTCAGAACGTGTCTGGCGGAGATTGTCTTGTTTTAACGCATGGGGTCTATGTTCTGAGAACATGTCTTTTGGTTATCAGAACAGTTTTAGCTTTGGGTTCTAGGAACGTTTCGTGGCAGGACTGTGGAATGCCGGGACGGTCGGTCCCTGCTCAACTCCCTCCTTCTTTCGCCCTCTCGCGTTTCGAGTGGTGCTCCCCCCTTCCCCGTGCTCCCGCCCTCGCCCGATCCCAGTGGTGCGCTCTCCCTCCTCGTGCGCCCGTGCTCTCTCCTCGTGCCGTCGCCCCTCCCCCCCTCGTGCCCCGTCCCTCTCGCGACCCCAGTGGTGCTTTCCTCCCTCCTCGCGCTCCCACCCTCTTGCGGTTCCAGTGGTGCTCCCTCCCTCCTCGTGCCCCGTCCCTCTCGCGGTTCTGTGTGGTGCTCCCTCCTTCCTCGTGCTCCCTCCCTCTCGCGAGTCTAGCGGTGCTCCCTCCCCCCTCGTGTCCCGTGGGTGCTTTCCTCCCTCCTCGTGCGCGGCCCTCTCGCGATCCCAGTGGTGCTTCTGCGTGCTCGTGCTCCTGCGGTGCTTCCTCGCTCCTTGTGCTCCTTCCCTCTCGCGACTGCATCGGTGTTCCGCCGATGTTTTTGGGACGGTCAGCGGGAAAGGTGTCGCGAGTTTCGGCGCCGCGCCCCGGAAGGCACACACATCGCGCCTGAGGTCTGGGCTGGTGACCCCGCCGCGGGATCCTAGAACCTTGCACGGCCCCCAGAAAGCCTCGGGCGCGTCAACGGGAGTTTGCCCACTACGTGGTTTCCCTCCTCCACATTTCGCGTTTCGTCCTTGTTTGTCCCTGTCCTCCTGCATTATTGGTCCATACGTCCCCAGGCCGAAAGTTTTTTCTCTCGGAGTTAAGGTATGACAACACAAATATATCAAACAGTATTGTTTTTGCTGTGTGTGTGACAGTTTCGCGGGTCCTATTTCTGTGCCACGTGGATTCAATTTCCCGTGTGTGATTAAACCATTGGATACATTTGTGGTTCTGTAATGAATTGTTGAAGTGCAAATTCATCTCCGGGACCCACAGGTAATTGGACTCACAGGCTTCTGCACGTGAGGCATCATGCTATCCACCGGTTCTGCTGAGCAGTACTATGATTTCACGGGGGAAGTGTTTTCCGAAGGTGAAAAAGATGGGAGGAGGGAGGAGGCAAGTGGAAGGGGGAGGAGGAGAGACAGTGACGGAGGTAGGAAGATAATCTAGGTGGGACAAATGAGGCAGGAGGGGGAGGGGGAGGGAGGAGGGAGGAAGAGTGGGAGGAGGAGGAGGAGGAGGAGGAGGAGGAGGAAGAGGAGGAGGGAGGAGGAGGGAGGAGGAGGAGGAGGAAGGTGAAGGAGGGAGGCGGAGGGAGGACGCAGGAGGGGGGAGAAGGCGGGAGGAGGGAACGGGAGGAGGACGAGAGAGAAGAGGAAGAGCAGGAGGAGAAGGAGGGAGGACGAGGAGAACGAAGACGAGCAACGTGTCAAGGTCGGAAGCTCGAGCGCCCCCGCGAGCCCCGCCACTTCCCCTAACCGCTCCCATAACACGTGGGTGCTCGAGCGCCACAGCGGGCCTGGCCATCGCACATGCTCCTCCCATAACATGCGGTTGCTCGAACGCCACAGCGGGACCGGCCAACGCCCGCATCTCCTCTCGTAACAAATGGCACGCCCCGATCCGAATCAAGCGCAACATGCATCCGTTTACCTGAACGGCACGGCAATTCCGACGTCGGGCTCAAGAGGGAAATGTTTTGGCCCGCGTAAGTATGAATACCGCTTTCCTGTGCCTCCCGAAGGTGTTGGAAATGTACCAGGCCTCCATTTGGAGAAATCGTTGTTGTGCTTTGTTGTCTTTCATTACGGGTGCTGGCCCTTGGGAGTTCCAGATTGATTATCCCATGTTTGAAAGGAACGTGGTTTTCAATCTTTCAACTCGCACGACCATATATTGAGCACATAATGCGGGAAAACTTGAACAACAGCATGTGTTCCAATTTGTCAATGGGTCCCGGATTGGAATGTTCAGTTTTCAATTCTCTTATCTTGAAATGATTCAAATTGAAATTTCAGTTTTCCATATTCCAGTCCCGGGAATGCAGGATTTAATCTATTCATATGAATTCCCAACGTTGGGCTCAATCCGTCTTCCTTGACGATGTCTTAGATTTTCCAAGTACGGAGAAGATCCAAACTTATTGACTATCGCAGCGGCCCTGCCTGCGTTCAGACGTGCCCCCACTCCCCTTCCGTTCTCCTCCTCCCCTTGGCGGGAGGAGGACGACGACGCGGACCACGACCACGACGATCACGACGAGGACGATTACCCACCACCGCCACCGCGACGATCACGACCGCGACCAGGGCGACTCCCACGGCTACGCCGACGGCCGCGAACTCAGAGTCGACGACCGCAACCACGACCACGACGACGACCACGATCTCCACGGCGGACGACCACCACGACCCACGGCGACGGCGGACGACGACGACGACGGCGACGACCACGACGACGGCGCCCGACCGCGGCGGCCGGCCAGGCCGGCGGCACCGGCGCCGCGCCGCGGGGCGGCGGCGGGCCCGAGCGGCTGGAGGCCCTCGTCGAGGCCCCGCCCGCTGCCGCTCGCCGCCGGTCGGCGCCGCCGCTCGCCGTTCGCGGCCGCCGCGTCATCGTCGAGGCCGCGGCGCGGCTCGCCACCGTCGGCGGCGGCGGCGGCGTCGCTCGCGGTCGGCCTTGTCGTCGTCGTGGTCCTCGTGCTGGTCGTGGTGGTGGTGGTCGTCGGCCATTTCGGGGGTGGAGGGGGGAGGAGGCGGTGGAGGAGGATGAGGAGGAGGAGGACCGATGCGAACGCAAGACTCATCAACGATATTGCGTTGAGCGCTCCCTCCAAGTTTCTTGTTGCGTTGCCCCTACAAGGGTTCATGATTCACGGAAGGAAGTGCCCCGTTGGGGAGCTGTCGTTTTGAAGATCTTGAATTGTGCCATCATTCTTGCGACTTCAGCGTCACGAATTACTTTTACCCTTGCGTCTTGGCGATCTTGAATCGTGCCGAAATAGTATTCCCAGGGTTAAATTATTACGCATCTACACGATTGATGCGCCCTGGTAGCCCGACACCGTGCCAAAACACAATTCCTGGGACGTTGGCCATGGAATTTGTTGACACTTGTTGCAAACGCTCTGACAGAATTTGCGCGGCGCTATGGCGAGAGCCATATTTTGAAAAGGACCCCCCTCCATCCATGAAGCTCTTGCAATTTTGAAGACGAGTGTGCGCGGCACTGAGGCGACAGCCACATTTTGAAAACGACTTGTCCCCCATCTGTGGAACTCTTGCAAATCTTGACGGGATGTGCGCAGCGAGAGCTGCATTTTGAAAACGACCCGCTTTATATCCGTGAAGCTCCTGCAATGAAAAAGAAACAACTGATCGCGGCGTTAAGGCGAGAGCCACACTTCGAAAAGGACCCGCCTTCCATCCGCGAAGTTGTTGCACCTTTCAAACTTCAGGATCTCACATGGTGAGGAACTCTCAGGCGAAACGCCCGGCCCGCTCTTTCGACCGGCCTCGTGGCGCGACAGGGATGAGTTGTTCATAGAAAAGAACTGGATGAGGAGGAGGAGGAGGACGAGGAGGAGGAGAAGGAGGAGGAGAAGGAGGAGAGGGAGGAATGGCCGGCGCTGGCCACACTCCGTGGCCTCCTGCCTGGGGACCCGCTTCCCGTGCCGGCCTCGACGACACTGCGGCCCCCGTAAGAGGCCGGCCCTCCAGGTTGCCCTGCCGTCTACCGTCTGCCGCAGAGTGCGCTGTCGGGGACTTCAGCCGCCCTGGCGGCCTCACGGACTGCGGGAGGGGGCTCGTGCGGTGCTCGGGCCCCCGTGGCTGCAGCGCCCAATCTCAGAGGAGGGCGAGCTGAGCCAACATCGGAGGTCGGAGGGTGAGCTCGTAGTGGGACGGAAAGCGCCCCACCGGGAAACCCGTGTCGCTTCAAGGGGAGGGTTCGTGGTCGTGTCGTGCGTGCGTGCGAGGCGAAGCTGCATGGGCGCGCGAGGGGAATGATCCCGCCGTCGCCAGGGCGATTCGGATGCAAAAGTCTGGCCCTCGGGTGGGCGCGCGGTGGCTGGGGTGTCCCGCTGTGGTGTCCTGCGTTGTCTCGATGGTGTCCCGCGGTGTCCCGCCGTGGTGTTCCGATGGTTTCTCGTGGTGTCCCATGTTGGCCCGTGGTGTCCCGCGGTGGCCCAGTGGTGTCCCGCGGTGTTCCTAGGGTGTCCAGTGGTGTCCCGCGGTGTCCCGCCGATGGTCTGCCAATGGTCTCCCGATGGTGTCCCGGTCGATAGCGCGATCGATATTGAGATCGATAACGACCGAGATGTGGTGAGATCGGTAGTGAGATCGATAGCTCGATAGCTAGATGGGGGGGGGTCATCTCAGGGCAACGTGTGCTTATTTCGCCAACGGGCCAAGAAGGTCGGGGGCGGCAGAGAGGGGGGTGAGGACTAGGGGGGAGGATCTCACGGCGTGGGCCACGATATTTTCCCAGACTTCATGGCACCTCTTCTCATTCCATCACGCCCCCGCCCCCCTCCCCCGGGCCGCGCACGTGCCGCTCGCCATGTCGGCGACTACAACCGGTGCGGTTACGCCGGGGTGCGGTTTGCGAGTCGCTTTGTGGCGGCCTTTCGGGGGCCTTTGTGAGGGACAGTGTCATAGTTGTCGTCGTTTCGGGCGACACTGTCATCCTCGATGCTTGCTCCACTGTACCAGAAGGAGCGACAGTGTCATGTGATTCGGTCGCATTGAGTAACAGTGTCATCCGTTTCCCGGGGGTGGGAGAGGCAGATATGACGCGAGACAAACCACACCCTTCGCAAACCGCACCCATTGTAGTCGCCGACCATGGCTTGCGACCCCACTCTTGGACGCCCCCACTCTTGGGCGCCCCCGAGAGCGAAGGATCGGCTGCTGTGCCACCGGCATCTCAGGGAGGCGGGTCCTTGCGGCCACGGCGGCGCCCCATCGTCGGGCCGGGAGGCCCCGGCGGCGGGCGGGTGCCCTGTCTGGGCGAGCGGCGCCCAGGAGTCGGCTTAAAAATTGGGCGTGTCCTCCCTACGGGCGGATTTCCCGCCTCGCCTTTCCCGGCCTTTCCCGGCCTCGTCTTTCTCGCCTTTCCTGGCCTCGTGGCCTGTCCGCTTGTCGTCCTCGTCGTCGTCGCCTCGTCTTCCTCCACACGTTCTCGCCGACTTGCCTTGGCTGTGCCGGCCTCGGTGCGACGCTGTAGCATCGAGGAGTCCCCTTCCCATCAGTTGGGAAGCCGGCGATTTTCACTGTTTCAAGTGTGTCGGGCCACTTTTGTTCCCACTCGATAATCCAAGGTGCCGCCTGAGAACTCGGCTCGCCGGTGCACCTTTACAGACGGATTTTGGACGAAACGTGCAACATGGTCAAGCAACACTTTGAACATGCTCGGAGGTGCTCCGAACATCTTCCCCGGGCGGTCTCTTTCGATGATGTCTGAGGATGCCTCCTGTAGGGCTAGGACGGGCCCGGCCTATAGCCCAAGCATCGCCGCCCCTGGGTCTTAGTGGCGAGCGGCGCCCATGGGCCCTGGGGGGCTTGGCGCGAGGGGGGATGGGCTTCCAAGAAGGGGCAGTCTCCAAGAGGGGAGTCTTGTGGGGAGGAGGAAGAGAGAGGGAGGAGGAGGAGGAGGAGGAGGAGGAGGAGGAGGAGGAGGAGGAGGAGGAGGAAAAGGAGGAGCGGGGTCGCCACTTGTGTGCTGGGGCCCCTTGGGGGCGGGCGGGTCCCCCGTGACGGGCGGCGCCCGGGAAGCCGCGGCCGCCGTCGCCGGGCCGCGGCCACAGGTGCGCAGGAGCACTGCGCCCCCTCTCGCGTCCCAGCCTCGAACAAGGCCGGGACGATGATGATGATGATGATGATGATGATGATGATGATGATGATGATGATGATGATGATGATGATGATGATGATGATGATGATGATAGGTTTTTTTTTGTGGGATTTTGGCGCGTGTCGGGGGAACGTAAGACTCGAGTAAGCCGGAGAACTCGGATGTGCCGGCGTGTTTTGACGAGCGCGTCCTGGATGTTGACGGTCCCGTTTTCGTGGGATGTTTGCAGCGGGAGCTCGCGTCAAATTCCAGATTGGGCCTCGTCATTTTTTTATGGCTCCGTCAGGCCAACCCGAGTCCCCCGTACCCGAGTCTTACGTCTGCCCGAGCGTGGGGCCGGAATGACAACAAAAACATTTCTTCGGCGGCGCCAGACCTGAGGATTTCTGCTTTGCCGACCCCGTCGCCACGTGGGCGGCCCCAGAGGCGCCGTGACCCAAAACAAGAGGCTCCGGGCTCCGCAGCGTCAAGCACGGTGATTTCTGTCATTCCGCCGTGGGGCGCCCACAAGACACCGGGGGCCGGCATGACACGACAGGACCATGATTTGGGCAGTGCCAAACCCGATGATTTGTTTCATGCCGGCCCCGTCGCATTGTGGGCAGCCCAAGGCTAGGGGACGAACACTGACATAAATTAAAAAACTCGAAGGTCCGCGCGGATTTCTCGGATCCGCGCTGGACTCCCCTGGCGGCGCCTCCGGCGCCGCCCCTGGCGCGCTCCGCGCGCCAGGGAGGGGGGTCCAGCGCCGATCCGAGAAATCCGCGCGGACTTCCGAGTTTTTCTGTTTATGTCAGTGTTCGTTCCCCTAGCCTTGGACTGCCCACAATGCGACGGGGCCGGCGTGAACAAAAATCATCGGGTTTGGCACTGCCCAAATCATGTTCTTGTTCCCCTAAAGGCGCCATGTCAGGAAACCTCTTGGGTTCGTCAGCGCCCAGAACTATGGGTTTTTGTCATGTCGCCGTGGGGCGCCCCATGGGACACGGGAGGCCAGCACGACAAAAAAGCAGGAGGGGAACAAACACACAGACACAATTAATTGTCGAGTCCCCCGAAAATATTGGAAATCTGGGAAGTGGGGGGGAAGACGATAACCCAGAAAATAGACAAAACGATTGGGAATCTGGTTATTTGTGTCTATTTATTTGTGTGTATGTGTGTGCGTGTGTGTGTGTGTGTGTGTGTGTGTGTGTGTGTGTGTGTCCCAGTTCCCCTTCAAAAAAAAGCAATGGGTTCGGCCGCGCCAGACCAAACAGTTTTAGTCATGCCGACCCCCTCGCCCTGAGGGCGGCCCAAGGCTCCATGATGACAGCAAGTGTTGGATTCGGCAGCGCCACGTCCGAGGATTTTGCCATGGTGCCGTGGGGCGCCCGTGAGGCACGGGGTGCTGGGCACGACAAGACGCCTGGGGCTCGGCAGCGCCAGGAGTTCGTATTTTTTGTCGTGCCGACCCCGTATCGCCCTGTGGGCGACCCAAGGCGCCAGGACAGACAACCTTGGGTTCCGCAGCGCCAAACCTAGGGATTTCTGTCATGGCGCCGTAGGGCGCCCATAATGCACAGGGGACAAAAAATTGGCCTGGCGAAAGACCCAACCATATGCAGTTGTGAGTACCGCAATTGTGAATATCTTCTTCGGTGGCGCTCCCTATGGGGCCACGAAGCGCTGTACTGGGTGGGTGAAACGCAGGGAACAAAGGGCCGTGTTGGGTGGTGGCGGACGCATGCGGGCGGTACCACTGGGACCTTCCGTGGAGATCCCTATGGGGCCACGAAGCGCTGTATTGGGTGAGTGAAACGCAGTGAGCAAGGGCTGTGCTGGGTGGTGGCGGACGCATGCGGGCGGTGCCACTGGGACCTTCGGTGGAGCCTCCTTCATGGGGCCACTAAACGTTGTACTGGGTGGGTGAAACGCAGGGAGCCAGGGCTTTGCTGGGTGGTGGCGGACGCATGCGGGCAGTGCCACTGGGACCTTCGGTGGAGCCCCCTATGGGGCCACGAAGCGCGGTACTGTGTGGGCGAAACGAAGGGAGTAATGGCTGTATTGGGTGGTGGCGGACGCATGCGGGCGGTGCCAATGGGACCTTCGGTGGAGCTCCCTATGGGGCCACGAAACGCTGTTTGGGTGGGTGAAACGCATGGAGCATGGGCTGTGCTGGGTGGTGGCGGACGCATGCGGGCGGTGCCACTGGGACCTTCGGTGGAGCTCCCTATGGGGCCACGAAGCGCTGTACTGGGTGGGTGAAACGCAGGAGGAAGGGTTGTGCTGGGTGGTGGCGGACGCACGCGGGTTTTGCCACTGGGACCATCGGTGGAGCCCCCTAATGGGGCCACGGAACGCTGTACTGGGTGGGGTGGAGCGCAGGGAGCAAGGGCTGTGCTCGGTGGTGGCGGACGCACGCGGGCGATGCCACTGGGACCTTCGGTGGAGCTCCCTATGGGGCCACGAAACGCTGTGCTGGGCGGGTGAAGCGCATGGAAGAGGGAGGAGGGAGAAGGAGGGAGAAGAGGAGGAGAAGAGGAGGAGAAGAGGAGAGGAACGCGGGGACCGTCTTTTCAAAACGAGGACCCAACGCCACAGGATGGTCGGGAACAATGGGTACGGCAGCCCCCAAACCAGGGTCTTTTGTCATGCACACCAGCTCGCCCTGTGCGTGGCCCACGGCGCCGCGAGGCGAGGTTTGACACCGCCAAACCCAAGTTTTTTTCCAGTCCCAGCAGTCACATCCATCGTCATGGTCATCATCACACCACTCGCAGTTGCCAGCAGTTGGTTCTTGCCCCTCCCCCAACATCCTTATGATCCGAAGGGTAGTTGCAGGTAATGTCCCGGCCTCGCATCCTCTGCCTCCTGCGTCCCCCGTCTCGGCGTTCGCTCGTCGCGGTCGCGGCTGGCCGGCCGGTGCAGTGATGGGCTGTTCACATGGGCGCTTGTGCAGCGGGCTCTTGGGCGACTTGGGCTGGCTTCCGCAGGAGTTCAGCCGAAGCAGGCGCCGTCGGGTGGCTGGGCATCGGCTGCGGGGCGACTCCGTGGAGCCGCAGGGTCCGCTATCGCCGCGGGTCGCAATATGAGAAGTATGGATCGGATGAGGAGGAGGAGGAGGAGGAGGAAGAGGAGGAGGAGGAGGACGGGGAGAGGAGGAGGAAGGGGGGATGAGTGGACTTCGCGTAGTGGAACAAGGGCAGGAGCAGGAGCAGGAACGGAATGACGCGGAGGAGGCAAGTATGAGGAATGAGAAATGGAGGAGGCGGAGGAGGAGGAGGAGGATGAGGAGGAGGAGGAGTAGGAGGAGTAATCACTAGAGGTGGCGGAGGGAAGGAGGCGACAGGCGGAGGAAGAGGTTGGGGAGGACGCCCGTACCGCCGCCGCCGCCGCCATCGTCGTCGTCGTCGTCGCCGTCGTCGCCCCCGCCGCCATCGTCGTCGCCGTCGCCGCCGCCGCCGCCGTCGTCGTCGTCGTCGCCGCCGCCGCCGCCGTCGTCGTCGTCGTCGTCGTCGTCGTCGTCGTCGTCGTCGTCGTCGCCGCCGCCGCCGCCGCCGCCGCCGCCGCCGCCGCCGCCGCCATCGTCGTCGTCGTCGTCGTCGTCGTCGTCGTCGCGGCGCGCGCTGTGCGCGGCCCCGAGAGGCGCAGCGTCGCAGGATCCTGGAGCTCACTGGGCTGCTAGAGGCCCGGCGCGAGGAGCGGGCGGCGCGCCTGGTGAGGGGGACGCTGCGCGGCGGGGGCGGGGTTGCCGGGGCTCTGCCGCGCGCAGAGGAGTGTTTTGAGAGTGCACGGGCGTTGGCCAGCGGATGGTCACCGATGTGACGGCCCCGACTTCGCGTCGGATATGCGTCGACTGAGCGTCGTCTAGCGTGGATTGGCGCCGACTCGCAAGAGCCAGCAAGATGGTATGGGTCGGCCACGCGCAGAGGAGGGTATGGGGGAGGGGGGGGTTCTTAGAAGCACCCCCGCTTCTGAGAAGGCGCGGGCCTCCTCTGTAGATGTAAGGCCCGCGGCTTCTAAGAAGCAGCCTTCTGGGACGCCTCCCTCCCCTCACCTCCTTTGTGCGCGCCGCCAAGGGGCGGGGCTTGGAGGGCTGAGGTGGGCCAGCACTTTGTCGGTTCTCGGCGGCTTTCCAGCCTCGGGATGCTCTCCAGCGGCTGCGCCTCGCCGAGGGCGTTCTGGGGGGTGTTCGGATCGTCCCGAATGGCCGCTTGAAACCCGAGCTATGACCTGGAAACCAGCCCAGGGATCGATGCCTGGTCTTGCGAGCCTGGGGCGGCGTGATTGAAGTCAGTTTCTCCTCCATTTGGGACCGCACCTGGCCCTTCCTCTTGCTCCTCCTCGCTCCTTCGGTTCCTCCTCCCCCTCCTCGTTCTTCTTGGCTTCCTTGTGAAGGGGCGAGTCTGGTCCAAGTCAGGTCCCACGAGTTTTCCAAGTCTGGTGGGAATCAGGCCCAATTCGGACAGAGCTAGGGGCCACGTAGACTCCCACGGAACACTCCAAGCAGGGGCGCGGCTAGGAGATCGTTGGGGGGTTGAGGTGGCCCAGCACTGCTTCTGGCCCGCGGAGAATTGAGGACACGCAAATGTGGATTCGGGCGCGGGGATTAGCGACGGGTCCCGTTTCCGCACGGAGTTTTGACGGTCTTTCGCCCGTCGCGTCGTGCATTCTTCAGGACTTCAGGGGGTGTGGGCCCCCTTGGGCGGCCACGGCGACGACGGCGCCGATGACGGCGGCGGCGACCACGCGCGGCCGCGGCCACGACGGCGACGACGGCAGCCGCGGCCACGATGCCGACGACCGCGCGCCCGCGCGGGCCGGACAGGCCGCGACGAAGCGCTCCGCCGCGCGGCCCTCGCCGAGGACCGCGCCTGCGAGGGCTACGCCGCGGAGCGCCGACCGCCCGCCCGCCGCCGCCGCCGCGGGCGCGGTCCCCGCCACCGCCGCCGTCCGCGCCGTCGGCGGCGCCGCTCAGATCAGAGAGAGAGAGCGAGCCGAGACAGCGGTATAGTTCGAGGTTCGAGGCTCGGGAGGGGGGGTTCGAGGTCCGAGGTCCGAGGCTTTCTGGCGAACCCGTCTGCTCTCGGGCGGCTTTCCAGCCCCGGGATGCCTTTCAGCAGCTGCGCCTCGCCGAGGGCGTGCAGGGGGTGCCCGGATCGTCCCCAACGGCCAGCGGAGACCCAAGTCGTGGGACGACAGGGGGATTTCAGAGGAGGGCGCCGCCGAGCGCCCGCTGCTGGTCGCGGTCGCCGCCGCCGCCGTCGGCGCCGTCGGCGTCGTCGCTGGGAGGGAGTTCACAGGAGGGCGAGTTGAGGCAACCTACCCTCGTTTTCGCCTCGTGGGGCCTCTGGGGAGGTCCTCGTCGCCACGGCTGGATTCGTTTCGGAATTCGGGTCAGGACGTACTCCAGGAGGTCCAGGGAGCAGCGATATCGGTAACATTTCGGTTTCCCCAGGGCGACCTTCCTAGAAGAGGGCGGGTTGAGATTAGCCTTCGGGGGTCCCGCTCGCGGAAAGCTGGCGCGTCTAGGACCCAGGAGGGGTCGAGGGACCGATTTTGAGGCGTCGTTGTCCCAACTCGCCTTGCTCCGAGGTTCGAGGTTTCCGCACGCGTTCGTCGGTTCTCGGCGGTCTTCCATCCTCGGGATCCGCCCTGCTGCCAGAGGCCCGAGTTCTGCCCCGGAAACCACCTGGCGTCGAAGAGGTCTGGGGCATCGGCGTGTGGCTCCCGTCGTTATTTTCGTCGTTGTCGTCGTCGTCGTCGTCGTCGTCGTCGTCGTTTGATCGTCGTCGTCGTCGTTTTGTCGTCGTCGCCGCCGCAGCCTCCGCCGCTTCCGCCGTCGTGCTGCCGTTGCCCTCGCCGTGCCGCACTGCTGCTGCTCCCCACGCTCCTCCTGGTCCTCTTGATGGTTCTTCCAGGAGGGGGGGAGGAGGGTGGGCGACAAGCTAGGTGCGCTCGCGTCATATCTGACGTCCTACACCTCCCTCCCATCACTTACTATGGCGTAGATATCCTCTCTATTCGCACAGTCGGATGTCGAGCAGGGCAATGATCCCGAGAGGGTGCGTGCTGCATCGTAGAGCACGGCATAGCAGGGCGTAGAAAAGAACGGCCGAGCGTTGCATGTCACAGCATGGCGTGGCGTTGCGTAGTGCAGCATTGCAGCGCAAAGCAAGGTAACGCAAATAATGGCACCGAACAGCGGCAAATAACACAACATGGTATAGCATGACAGGGCTGGAGTTAAACGTGTGTTGGCGATATCTTGGGCCGATTTCGTTTCGATGTCGTTTTGCAGTAAAGGCGGATTGAAGACAAAACGAAGGAAAACGACAACACAACGAAACCGAAAAACACCGTTTAGGTTCAGCCCTGTAGCATGGCGTGGAAGGTCAAAGCGCCGCATGGCGTAGCATGGCGTAGCATGGCGTGGCACTGCGTAGGCAAGCACTGCATCTCCTAGCACTGCAGCTGACGGCGCGGCATCGCACAGCGGAACACACGCATAGCATTAAGTCGGGCTTGTCCCCCTACAGGGGGATTTTCGACGAAAAACAAAGAATACCCCCAAAATGCTCCAAAAAGGTAAAGCAATATTCAAAAATTAGTCCCCTGATTATTTTTTGGATTATTTAGGGAGTATTTCTTATTTTTTCGTCGAAGATCCCCCTGTAGGGCGACAGGCCCGACTTGAACATCGCATTCCGTGGCATGGCACTGGACATAATGACGCCAGCGCTGCAGCGGGAGCACGATTCGGAATGAGCGGAAGCGCGGAAATGATGCCAGCGCTGCAGCGGGAGCACGATTCGGAACGAGCGGAAGCGCGGAAATAAGGCCAGCGCTGCAGCGGGAGCACGATTCGGAACGAGTGGAAGTGCGGAAGTGAGGCCAGCGCTGCAGCGGGAGCAGGATTCGGAACGAGCAGAAGCCCGAAAATGAGGCCAGCGTTGCAGCGGGGACAACATTTTGAAAAGCAGCCCTAGCGAAAACCCAATTCCCGGGAATCCTGCGTGTAAAGAAACAGCGGAAGGGGGCCGACCACCTTCCGGACGCCATCCGGGGAGAGAGGGGAGTATTCGTATTGTATAATTAAAGAGGAGGGCGAGAGGTGGGCCAGAAGGGCGAGGAGGAGCAGGGGGGGAGGGGAGGACCGCGGACGAGGCTGCATGAGGAGCAAACGACACTGTGAGGAGGAGGTCGGAGGAGGACGGAGGAGGAGGAGGAGGAGGAGCAGCAGGAGGAGGAGGAGGAGGAGGAGGAGGGCCCCGGAGGGGCACTCCCATAAGTGGGGTGTCTGGCCAAAGCGCCCCCTGGCGGAGGCGGGGGCCGCTGGGCCAAACCCGGTGTCCCTCTCAGGAGTCGTGTGCCGGGAGGTCCGTCTCCTCCCCGTCGTGTCGTCGCCGTCGCTGTCGCGTCTGTCGTGTCGTGGCGGGTCCCTGGGGTGGGTGGTGGGGGTTTGGTGTTGCTTGGCCCCTGCCCGTTCTGCCGGTGGTCGGGCGTTTCCGGCCGGCAAAACGGCGCGGGGCAGCTGGCTTACTATTCCAATGCCGCCCGCTTGCGGGGGGCCCGCCCGCGCCGTGAGCGCCCTACAGCCCGCGGCGCGCCGCGGCCGCGGGGGCGCGCGCGGCGCCCGTTCGGGGGCCCGCTCTTGGGACCATCCGCTGCAAGAGGAGGAGGAGGAGGAGGAGGAGGAGGAGGAGGAGGAGGAGGAGGAGGAGGAGGAGGAGGAAGGGGAGGAGGAGGAGGAGGAGGAGGAGGAGGAGGAGGAGGAGGAGGAGGAGGAGGACGAGAGGACGAGGAGGACGAGGAGGAAGGGGAGGAGGAGTAGGAGGAGGAGGAGGAGAAGGAGAAAAAGGAGGAGGAGGAAGAGGAGGAGGAGGACGAGGAGGCAGGGGAGGAGTAGGAGTAGTAGTAGTAGTAGTAGTAGTAGTAGTAGTAGTAGGTAGTAGGGAGGAGAGGAGGAGGAGGAGGAGGAGGACGAAGGAGGAGGAGGAGGAGGGGAGGCGACGGAGGGAGGAGGAGGAGAGGAGGAGGAGGAGGAGGGGAGGAGGAGGAGGAGGAGGAGGAGGAGGAGAAGGTGGAGACCAGGGCACACATGTCTGCAACGGTGCCTTCCCCAGCAAAGGCCATACAGTGGGAGGGGGCCCATTCCAGGAAGCACGCTTCTCTTTACCAGGGTACCTTGAATTTCTTAGGTTCGTGCTCGGACTGAAGGCTTGCAACTGTCGTGAAGGAGCCGCCGCTGGCTGGGTACACTGAGTTTCTAGGGCGCTGGGACGATTTGGGGCGCGCGCTCGAAGGTTCAAGAAACCACCGGGCACGGGTGGTACCCTGAGTTTCTGGGCTGGCAGGCGCGAAGCAAGAAACCAAACTGTGGCCAAGACACTTCTGCGATTTTCAGGGTTTGATGTCTTTCGATCGGTTTCAAGAGAATCAGTATTGTTTGCAGCTCTCGCAAATGGCTCTACACTTTTCCACCGCATTTTTGCGCAGTCCGAGTGGCCACTTCCGAAGCGACAGCGACAGCGCTAGTTCCACAGAGGAATCGAAGATCTTCTAGCACAGCCATTCGAGACAGAACTGCCAGTTTCTGATGGCTTTAAGCAATGTCGAAAAAGAAGGAGCCTAGGACGACGACCGCGACGAAGACTGCGTTTGCGACGACGACGCCGCCGCCGACGCCAACGCCGGCGACCACAAAGTTCAGGGCCGCGACCACGCCGACCACGACCATAATCACCCCCACATATAGCCGGCGGCGTCGGCGGCGTCGGCGAAGCGGGCATCGGTGACGACGTCGGCGGCGATGACGCCGTCGGCGGTGCTGCTACCGTGCTGCTACTGGTTTCCCTCGGCAGGGATGACGTAGGAGGGGGAGGAAAGCGAGGAGGAGGGTGAAGGAATAGGATTAATTCGGGGGTGTCGTCTACAGGGGGAATTTGGTCGGGGGATTTGTTTGGAGTGTGTTTGGGCATCTTTTGAGTAGTTTTTGAATATGTATTCATTTGTCTTTCAAAATCCCCGTGTACGGGGACAGGCCCGACATAACAATAGGACGAATAGCAGGAACCGATGACGCCGACGGCGCCGCCGAAAGCGCAGACCGCAGCGATGATGCCGACGCCGCGGCGGCGCCGAGGACGACGCCGAGGGCGGCGCCGAGGGCGGCGCCCTCGGCAGCGGCGCCGCCGGCGGCGGGGCCGCCGGCCTTGCTGCCCGCGCGGAGGCCAGCGCGGGCGCGGCCAGCGGCGCTGGCGCGGGCGCCGCCGCGGGCGCCGCCGAGCTTCTGGCGGCCGCAGGCGCTCGACGTCCACTCGGCGGCGTCGCCGCCGGCGGCGGGGCCGCCGGCCTTGCTGCCCGCGCGGAGGCCAGCGCGGGCGCGGCCAGCGGCGCTGGCGCGGGCGCCGCCGAGCTTCTGGCGGCCGCAGGCGCTCGACGTCCACTCGGCGGCGTCGGCGCCGTCCTTCAGCACGTTTGGGGGGCCCCCTGGGAGGCCCTGTTCGCCACGGCTGGATTCGCCCTGAAATCCTTGTTGGAACGCACCCCGGGGGAGGCCCGTGCAGCGGCGGTATCGGTATCGGTTTTTGCCCCGGCGTCAACTACGACGTCGCCAAAGACGTCGGCGTCATCCTCGGCCCCGTCGTTGTCCCACTCGTTGTCGTCGTGGCAGTGGTTGTGGTCGACGTTGTCGTCGTGATCGTCGTCGGCGGCGCACGCGCAGAATCCTCGACCCCAATTCCTCCGTCGAGGAGAAGGGCACCACGACTTCCACCACGACGAGGAGCACCCTGAGAGTGCCGTCTGCTGCGCCATGCCTCCTCGTGCATGCACGGAGGTGGCCTTCATCCCGACGTGATGTGCCCCAGGGCCGCCACGACCGCGACGGCCAGCGCCGACGGCGGCCGCTAGCGCCGAGCGAGGTGGCGGCCGCCGCCGACGCCGGCCGCCGACGACGCCGCCGAGAGGCGGCGGCTGACCAGTGGGCCTCGGTGGATCCCGACGCGTCCGAGGGCCATCTCGACTGCGATGACGACGACTATGACGACAAGAGGCCAGCCACTACTTCTTGCACTCTGCGCTGCGGCTTGCGTATGCCGCCAGCGCCCACAGGTTTGTCCCCAGAGACGAACCTGGCAAAGGTGACGAAGCGTCCGCTTGGCCCGATACTGACAGCAGTTGCACCGACGTGTTTTCACTGTCGCGCGCCTGGGGCGGCGCCGAAGGCGCCGCCCGGGGGGCCCAGCGCAGATCCAAGAAATCCGCGCGAAGTTCTGAAAGTTTCTGCTGCTTCTGCCGCTTGTTGTTCATCTACGGTCGGCGTCAGCATCGTGGCGTCGGCGTCTGCATCGTGGCGTGTGCGTCAGCTTCGTCGTCGGCATCGTGGCGTCGGCGTCGTCGCCTCGAACCGCCCAAAGGCGACGCGGCGGCTGCCGCGGTGGAGCGGTGCACCGCGCGGCTGGGGGCGCCGGCGAGGCTCGGCGCCGGCGCGGGCGTGGTGCGGCGGGAGCTTGAGGCGCCTCGTCCGTCGGGGGGTCGTCGGGGCCGTTTCTTAGAGGATGCCCAGGGCGGCGGGAAGTTTCGGGCTTGAGGCTCGCGGTCGGAAGTTTTTCTGATTCGTAGGTCCTCGGCGGTTTTGTGGCCTCGTGGTGCCTTCCAGCAGCTGCGCCTCGCCGAGGGCGTTCCGCAGGTGTCCGGATCGTCCCGAACGGCCGCCAGAGACCCGAGTTATGGTCCCAGAGCCGCCAGGCGTTGGGGGGCCGACTGGTCGTCGTCGCGGCCTCGGCTCCGGCGTGGCTCCCGCCGCCGCAGCAGCAGGGAGCAGGTGGGGAGCGGGGCGGGAGCATGAGGATGGCGAGTTGAGACAGCGGCAGCTGGCCTTCGGGGCTGGCACCTCTTTTCTTGGGTCCCGCCGCCCGACACGGCGACTTTCCGCTTCCTGCAAACGCCCCCTGACGCCCTTGGCCTCACACCCCACCGTCCTGGAACCTCTGCTCTTGGGCCCCCCCCCCACCGACACGGAGACACCTTGTTTCTTGTCAACGCCCCCCCACGACAACCTTGGGCCTCCTCGTTGCCACGGCTGGGCACAGCTCGGAAAGGAGGAGGAGGAGGAGGAGGAGGAGGAGGAGGAGGAGGAGGAGGAGGAGGAGGAGGAGGAGAGAGGAGAGGGAGGGATGGAGGGAGGGAGGGAGGGAGGGAGGGAGGGAGGGAGTGGCACGGGGACCGATCTCGAGTTGCCGCTGCCTCGACGCGCCCTGCTCCGAGGGGGGTCGGCTTCGCGGCCTCGGCTCTGGCGTGGCCCCCGCCGCCGCAGCAGCTGGGAGGATCGGGGGTGGACAGAACCCCCAACAGTGACACGTCGATTAGTGAATTGTCCGTTTTCGGTTCTCGAGAGGGCGCCGTGGCTGTTATTTTCCAGGCTTGCGCCCGCCAGGTTTGGGCCTCAGGTCGTTTTCACTAAACCACGTTTTACTAAAGGGGGGTCTGTCCATCCCCGAGAGGAGGTGGGGAGGAGCGGATGCGTGCAGATGCGCCCCTGGCGCTGCCGAGGCGCGGGGAGGTTCCCTCCCTCTCTCGTTCGGCTCCACTTTTGCGCGTACGTGTGGGACCGCTCACGTGAGGCTGTGGAGCCTGAGCAGGCCTGGGCGGCTGGTAGAGGAGGCGCACGAGGAGAGAGGGAGGAGGGATGGAGGAGGCAGGGGAGGAGCAGTTACCGATACCGCTGGCTCGTCCTGGAGAGCCCTCGTCGCCACGGCTGGATTGCGAAGGCCTTACGGCCGGTGCCGCCGACCCTGTTCGCTAGGACGAGGAGGAGGAGGAGCAGGAGGAGGAGGACGAGGAGGAGGAGTAGGAAGAGGAGGAGAGGGAGGAGGAGGAGGAGGAGGAGTCGGAGGAGTCGGAGGAGCAGGAGGATGAGGAGGAGGAGGAGGAAGGTAGTAGTAGTAGTAGTAGTAGTAGTAGTAGTAGTAGTAGTAGTAGTAGTAGTAGTAGTCGTAGTCGTAGTCGTAGTCGTAGTCGTAGTCGTAGTCGTAGTCGTAGTCGTAGTCGTAGTCGTAGTCGTAGTCGTAGTCGTAGTCGTAGTCCGTAGTCGTAGTCGTAGT